GCTTAAACATTTCCAAAATATCAGCATAATTAGCCACCTTGACAGGTGGCCTCATACAACTTGGGAAAGGGGCAGGCATGGGAGGAATAAACACACAATCATCAATTAATTTTTCTTTCTCAACAACCTCTCTTTTTTTCTCTTCACTCACTGCACCCTTGTCGGCGTCACTTAAGATATCTTTTCCTTTTGGCAATGTGGTCTTAGGTGAGACCGTTGGCAAAATGGTTTTGTCAATTTCTTTGCCACTACGGAGGGTGGTGATAGCTTTGAGTTGCTCGCAACTCTCTCTCAAAGGCTCTAATGACTCAACAACGTGTTGACCCCTAGGGTTCTCTTGTGGTTGAGCGGGGAACTTCCCCTTTTCTTGTTGAGATGCCCCTATGGAGTTTGTCAACTTTGTGAGTTGAGCTCTTATATCATTGATGGTTGTGGCATTTTGGTTATTGATGGTGGTTTGGCTTTGAATGAAGGAATGGACCATATCCTCCAAATTCCTTTTGTGAGGAGGTTGGTATGTGGATGGATTGGACGGTCCTTGAGAAAAACTTTGTGAAGGTGGACTTGGAGAAAAATTTTGTGGTAGCGGGTTTGACTAATACCCTTGTAGATTGGTCCTTGGGTATTGAGAGCTAGATGCTTGCCCTTGGCCATGGTATTGGTTTTGCTTGGGAGGCATGAGAGATGAATATGCACTTGACCCGTGAGGAATGGGGTTCTCATTTCTCCAACTAAAAGTTTGGTGATTACTCCACCCCGGATTGTAGGTGTTCGAATTGAGAGAAAATGATTGCCTTGGTTGGTTGAATGCATGGACTTGCTCATGGTATGCTTCCTTAAGTGCTAGAATGTTAGGACATTCCGATGTGGAATGCTATACATTCTCACAGATTACACATCCCACCACAATGTTAGAAACATTAGACACCTCATGTCTCTGATTGACTTCAAGACTCTCAACTTTCCTTGACAATTTAGCAATTTTTGAAAGTAAGTCTTCTCAGTCTTTCAAATCATATATCCCTCCCCCTTGTGATTGACTACTACCCGAGGACGTCCTAGGTACATCGTTGGGATCCCTAATGTCCTAAGATTGTGCATTTTGGGCCAGTGTACTGAAGTAGTCTAGGGCCTCATCAGAGTCTTTGTTCAAGAACTCGCCATTGCACATCATGTCAATGAATTGTCTATGGCTTGGTGTGATTCCTTGGTAGAAGAAACTTACCAGTTGTCATGATTCAAAGCCATGGTGTGGTATGGATTGTATCAACTCCTTGTAGTGATCCCAGCATTGATAAAATTGCTCATTGGGCTTCTCAAAAAAATTTGAATTTCCTTTTTTAAAGCAGTGGTTCTATGAACGGAAAAAAATTTGTTCAAGAATTCAGAGAGCATTTGAGCCCAAGAGGTAATGGATCGAGGTCGTAAGCATACAACCATGATTTGGCTTTTATCACTGAGGGAGAAAGGAAACAATTTCAATCAAGCTATGTCCTCCATAGCATAGTTAGCATTGAAGGTTGCAACTATATCCTCAAACTCCCTTATGTGCAAGTAGGGATTTTCCTTTTCAATCCCATGGAATGTAGGAAGTAGTTGCAACATCCCTGGCTTAACTTGGAAAAGATGAGCTTGGACCAGTAAATGGATGCAAAAGGGTGTGGTGCTACGTGTTGGTTGAAGGAAATCCCTCATACACCTCGTCAGAGGGTCCATTGGGATGTTATTCCCTTCATTCACAGGAGGGGGAAATTGCATCCGTGAATTAGGCATTCTAGGTTCGGGAACTCCCCCACCCCTTGGAACATTTGGCATTCTAGGTTCGGGCACTCCCCCACCCCTTTGAGCATTTGGATTGGCACCAAGATTATCAAAATTATCACCCACATCCTCGAGTGGGTTTTGGTCAATATTCATGTCGGGGTCTAATGGTTGTCTAACCAATCGATTTTGTTCGTCCCTCCCCACATGCAGTAAACTATCTACAAATCAAATTATACACAAACAAGGATATATATACACAGAACAACGTACCTCAGCCCATGATGTTGATCACGGGACTTACCTCCATTGTCTGATAATCACCTTCTCGATTCGACACTTGCCTTCCCTAACAACGGCGCCAAAAATGCTTGATGTTTTCCGTTTTTATCCCTAACCCCTAAATATCATCCCTCAAAACGTATTTTATATGGATAGGGGGGAATGTCACTCACCCTTTAAGTAGTTTCAAAAGAAAGGGCAAGGAGATGGGAAAATGAGATGGTGGAAATGTGTTATGTGTATGAACAAAAATGTTCCCCAACTGCAAGGAGATTTTTGTGGATCGTGTTTTACTTGGAGGTACTCCAAGGTCATTTCCACGGGGAAGGATGTGAACCAAAGGGAAGGTGATTTTGGGTGAAAGAAAGTGTAAAATCTTTTGTTGTTGAAAGTTGTTTGGTGAAGTGTGTTTTGGTGAAAATGAAATGAGAAACAAACGTTGGCTAATCCAAGATGTCACTCCAATAGGGATACCATTTCAACTCAAATCCCTCCCCCAATAGAGTATAAATATACGATTGATTCGTGGGAAGCTAGGGATAAGATGGGTGAGTATCTAAGCGTAAACCATGACTAGGCCTACGGAATGTCAAAGACTCACCAACTTATTCACCCTCAACCTAGTCAAACCAAACCATTGAACTCTGAAAGAAGATAGGAGAATGAGTTAAAATGGCATCCCCAAGTGGAGGTTCCCCTTGGTTTTGCCAACTAAAGGATTTAACTACTCATTGCTTGGGATGAAATTAACAATGAAATGAGAATGCATTGCAAAGGAATGAAGTTCTTGAGTAACTAAATGCAAGCAAACATAAACTATAAGTGAAAGCAATGAATACCCATTTTATAGCTAGGAAGAATGAAGAACATAAATGCATTAATGGTGAAAGCTTTAAAAGGGAATTAAACTTGCAATGAACTTGTAGGAACTAGCATTAATGACATTCAATGAAGCTCTAAAGATTCTTACAGGAGATTACAAGACAATGTATTGAAGAAAATGTAAACATCTCAATTTATCTCTCTAGAACATTATTCATCATCTTCTACCCAGGCTCTCTCTCTCTATATTTTGTGTAATGTCTGGAATGCTGAATAATGGAGTCATTTCCCCCAAAAAATGTCCATAGTCTGCTCCCTCAGGTGAGTGATGTGATTTTCATCCATAGGCTATAGCCAGGAATGGGCTGGAGAGGGAAGTGCAGACCCCTGTCTGCACACACATCAACTCTCTCTCCTCTCTCCTCTCTCCTCATTGATCACCATGGCTCCAAAAAGAGGTGTGAAAAGGATGAACAATGTTGTGGGCATGTCACAGAAGTGTGGGAGATATGATGGTGGGACCCTCAAACCAGCAGAGGATGATCTGCAGATTTTTGGGCAGATACGGCAAAGCGTACCGGTACGCGTCAAACTCCAGAGGCCTAAGTGTACCGGTACGGTTTGCCTGATTTTCTGATTTCTTGATTTTGTGATTTCCTGAGCCATCCACATGCCATCCTTTCATACTCATTCACCTCAACATATTTGGGAAGGCCTTAAGAAGCATTATTTATCACATCTTTTCCTGTAAAGATCAAATATCTTCATTAATAGCTCACGTAGTGCAATTCTAAACATTCAATCCCCAAAAGCAAGTGAAAAAGAGATGATTAGCACATGGTATATGCAATGTTTTTGTGCTAATCAGCCCTCTCTCATGAGCCAACCTCAACTGCTCCTCAACAGCCTCTTGTGTCTGCCTCTCTCTTGCCAGAACTCTGAATGCCTCTCCAAGCTTGATCGTTCTTGAAAATAAGCAAGGAAAATCGGCAGCCACCTATAAGCATTCATAAAACAAAACATGAAGGAAAAGAGGCAAGTACAAAATCAAAGTTGAGAAGAAAGGCATACCATAGAAAACCCCTCCATCGTGGTATTGATAATGCCCTCTAGACCTCGAGATCCAACCTCTCTGATATCCTCAGGAGTCACAAACCTCCAAAGCCACTCCTTACCCAAATTCATGTCAAAGCATGGACACCGAACCACTACTAGAAATAGGGTAGCTATGTGGAGCTACAGTCCCTGTAGAAGACCTCAGTAGAGTCTCAACTCCCACAACGGTACAAGGGTTAGCTCTGATACACACGGGAGTCCCAAGAGTCTACACAGCCACAGGAGTCCCGGGAGTCTACACTATCCTGGGAGTCTACACCACCACGGGAGTCCCGAGAGTCTACATTGCCACGGGAGTCCCGAGAGTCTACATTGCCATGGGAGTCCCAAGAGTCTACACCGCCACGAGAGTCCCGGGAGTCTACACCGCCACGGGAGTCCCAGGAGGAAGTATCACACGCCATTACGCTCCCCTGCTCAGTGCATAATGCCTCCACCCACCATGAGGCAAGCCCAGACACTGTCCCGAGAAAGCCAAACGTCTCGGAGGCAGCTCCACAGGCCTCGGGAGACTACACTCCGAGACTAGAGGCGTCTGACTCCTTTGTACCTACTCCACAAGAGCCCTCTACTCCCTCACTACCATTTACTGTACCATGTTAGAGACTATGCGTGGATGGGTCCTCCACCAGCTGGAGCCATCTCCCTCCACTTTGCAACATCCAACAACCAAACTGAATATAAGGCCCTCATATTAGGCTTGAAGCTCACATTGGAGATGGAGGCCGTCTGCCTGAGAGCCTATAGTGACTCACAGTTGATAGTCAACTAAGTACAGGGCGATTTTGAAGCAAATGAGGAAAGGATGCAAGAGTACCTATTAGTGGTTCAGGTATTGTTAAAAAATTTTACTTACTTCCAAATCCACCAAGTGCCTCGAGAAGAGAGCGTCATGGCAGACGCCATCGCCAAATTCACGTCTGCCAACAAACTCATGGGCCCAGCACCGACAGGCCCCGACTGAGAAGCGCTGGGCACATCAGGATTAACAAAAAAGCCAGCAAGGTTAAGTTACATAGTCAAAAGGTAGTTCCTCGATCCCCTCCACAACCTAATCCATCTATCTCTCTAAGCGGGGTCTCGGTGCCCAAGTATATCTCCCCCATGCATGGGTCCACTCTCCTAGTGCCTAGTCTACCGCAAAGGGATCCACCTAGTCTCAGGCTCCCATCAAAGTTGATACCATCACCCAGACCGCAGACACGATTGCCCAACCCGTGCTTATAGCCAACACCGCTGCCTACTGCGCCCTTACCCATTCTTAATGTCTCCATGGCCTTGCCCAATGTACTTGGGCAGCCACCGATGCCTACCAAAGCCAAAATCAAGTCAATGCCAAGGAAATACCTACGTTGAGAAAGCAATAAGCATGGGCGTCAGATAACATACCTCATAAGCTCTATTCGTCCGAGTCACTGTCTGGCCGCATCCCTGCATTACCTAAGCGCCCAAAGACGCCACTGAACTTACCCGTATGTTTCCCGATGTTGCCCGATATGCTTGACCTCCACCGGTGGTGACTATCTTGCCCAAGCCTCCACCGATGTTGCCCTACCCACCAGCATCGCCTAGTCTACGCTCGCCAAAGAACTTAGGCTTTCAGCTATGACAATTCAAAGGAAGCCCAATGATGAACTTGCCCGACCTCGGGGCTAAACAACACCACCCTTGATGAGGAAAAGGATTGTCTAGAAGCACGTATGTGGCCAAAAACTCCTCAAATGGGGGAGGAACATCAGCACTATAAAATAGCCGCCACAGCGAGAAAAACTCGATGATCACTCTCCACCCGTTAGGAGCCAACCTCCTGGGAGTCAGCGACAGGTGCCCTAACATCCAACAATTAGGTCCGGGTATTGGGAACCTCAAACCAGCCTCTAAGGCATCCTCATAGAGAACAATCTCACCTGAAGAGTCACAACATGTTGGCTCGTCCTCCTCCGCTCAAAGACACATGACAGCAGGAGGGATATGGTATGAAGACACAATGCAGACGATGTCATCATCTTAGTCAATCGAGCTAAAAATGGAGCTTACCTTCAAATAGTCGCCTTCAATGATCCCTTTGCCTCGCCGTGAAACTTGCCTAACACCCACTGTATCGCCCCTACTAGCTCGAGCACTTGACATAACAATAGAAGGCAATGAAGATGAACGGGCGTCAGGATTAACAAAAAAGCCATTAAGGTTAAGTTACACAATCAGAAGGTGGTACCTCGATCCCCTCCACAACCTAGTCCATCTACCTCTCTAAGTGGGGTCTCGGTGCCCAAGTCTATCTCCCCCATGCATGGGTCCACTCTCCCAGTGCCAATCTACCGCGAAGGGATCCACCTAGTCTCAGGCTCCCATCAAAGTTGCTACCCTCACCCAGGCCATAAACACGACTGCCCGACCCCTGCCTATAGCCAGCACCGCTGCCAACCGCGCCCTTACCCATGCATAATGTCTCCATGGCCTTGCCCAATGCGCATAGGCAGCCACTGGTGCCTGTCAAAGCCAAAATCAAGTCAATACCAAGGAAATAACTACGTTAAGAAAATAATAAGTATGGTCACCAGATAACATACCTCGTGAGCTCTATTCGTCCAAGTCACTGTCTAGCCGCATCCCTGCATTACCCAAGTGCCCAAAGACGCCACTAAACTTATCCACACGTTTCCCGATGTTACTCAATATGCTTGAGCCTCCATCGATGGGGATTATCTCGCCCAAGCCTCCACCGGCGTTGCCTTGCCCACCGACACCACCTAGTCTGCGCTCGCCCGCCTCCCTACCAATCTGGCCCACTCCACTGGCGTCACCAGTTGGCTGCCACCCACCATGGACATTGCCTTCTTTCTCACTGATGACGCCTCCCACACTGATGGCGTCACTTTCCCTACTACTGACACCTCCCACGCTGATGGCGCCGCCATCTACCTCAGGCCGATCAAGGCCCCAACACTACCCTACATCACGAGCAGCTAGAACATCCAAGTCGAAGCCCCGTCTGGCACTGCCGTCACCTGCTGAGCTAGGTGTAACCCTGGGCTCTGCCATAGCGCCATTTGAGGTGTCGTTGTGACTCGCTTTGGCGCCGCTTAGGTTCCTGGGAACAACACGAGGGTCACCCTCGCTAAGATTGTGGCCACTTGACATCGATCTAGCGCCCCCTAGAGCCTGGGCCATGACCTAATCGCTATCGGTGCTCCTTGCTAATCCTCCACCTTAAGTTTTCGATTCACCTTCCTTTTCCTTCATCGAGACTTCATTCTTCGTCTTCTCCTTTGTCTCCATAGTCACCTCCTTCAAGATTGCCCAGTAGTTTGTGGAATATGAAATGGAGAAATGGTGGTTTTTAAGCCCTAGCTCAAAAGAGGATATGATGGGTTTGCCAAAAAATGCCCTTTAAAGCCTGTGGGCAAGTACCTAAGTAAAAGAGGAAAACCACGCCACCGAGTTTACCTAGCTATTGGAATATAGCCAATGGGATAATGGATTTTCAACCACAGTGATTATCAAATCAAGAGAACGAGCTCTCAAGGTTCGAACCAAGCATGAGATTGAAGAAGCTACCACCGTAAGGGACAAGGAACCTTTTTTAGATAATGAAGCTACCACCGTGCAAAACAAGAAACCCTCATCTGTCCAAAGATTCTTATGCCCTCAACCTCTTGCCACCTCAAGGGCTTGGGCCATGGGGGGCAAATGACTAGCCCAGATTCAACTGGGTCAGGCCCAATAAATCGAGTAAGCTCATATCAGTTAAAAGGCAGGTCAAGCCAAGTTCGTGAATTCGACCCAACCCAAGGTCCAAGGAATCCAAGAATAATTAGGGCACGTAGGGAGCAATTATCGGGATACTCACTCCTAGAAGATCAAGACAACCTCTTATGACACTTACCTTTTGTAGCTACCCAAAAAATTAATAAATTTGCCCTCGCATCACTGCCTTAACCAAGGCTTTGTGCTTATAAATTATAAGCTCTCTCTACATGAGAGGACACCTCTTGATCTATCTCTACATCTCTCTGCACACCCTACACGTAGATTTTCTCTCTCCTAGCTATTGTATCCCTCCCAGAGCTAACCATTGTTCTCTCTCTCGTTCTCCTTACTTTATCAATAAAGGTCCCTCAGCCACCGTTGATATTTCCCAAAATGGAGTAGGTCACCTAGACCGAACCACTATATATATGTGTATTGATTCGATATTTATATTATTATCATTGATTGTTCTATTAATTGTCCATTAATTACACTTTATCACACACTTGATTATTGATCTTGGATAAGTCTGTCTTTTGCATCATCAATATGCATAATTAAATTAAATAAATCTGTATTTTTATTATTGCTGAATTTAATTGTTAATTTATTTTATAAGTCTTTGAGTACATAATCAGTTATTTATTTAGGTATCTCTCTGTCCCCTTTAGGCATTTGCACATCTAACTATATAATAGAATTATTAATTTTTATTTTGTTAAATAAATTGATTAGATTGCATATAATATTATTATATTATTGCACACTAAAAAATAAAATATAATATATATTTGACCGTGAAATTTCATCTAGTAATTTCATGTGTATAATAATTTAACATATTTTATTTTTTCAAACAGATATAAAAAATTGTATATAGTTGTACTACTAATAAATAAGTTCAAAAGAATTTAAAAGTCCTTATAAAAAAGTCCAAAATAACTTGAACGTCAAATAGGAGTAAAAAATAAAAATTAGTTAAAAGTATGTAGGTTTGCAAATGCTAACATTTATAAGTAGTATAGATAGATATAAATATAAATTACCGCTACCATCATCATCCCACTGCTACCACCACTATTTGCCACCCCCCACCATGGCCACCAACGACCAGCACAATGCCCATCGCCACCACCACCCACTACTACTGCCACCACCATCGTCGCTCACTGCAACCCACCACAACTATTGCCACCGCCACTAATACCACCATTACCCGTTGCTAACCATCATCACCTAAAACCACCACCCACCTACACCCACCATCATCGTCACCGTTACCACCACCACTACCACCCACCCCCATTGCCACTACCCACCACCACCACTACAACCATTCATTGCCATCACTACCGCCACCACCTACAACTACCATATCCACCATCGCCATCGCCGCTACCATTACTCGCCGCCAACCACCAACACTGCCACCACCCACCACCACCACCACCACCATTGTTGCCACCCCCACCACCACCCACCATCATCACTGCCGCTATAAAATAACCATCACCCACTGCCCCCACACCCACCACCATTGTCGCCACCCACTACCACCCAAAATAACAAAAAACTTGAAACTCAAAAATATTACAAAAAATATAAACAGTTAACTTAGGTAGTGTCTAGTAACAATGTGTCTGTGTTTTTTTCTATTTTTGTTTTCATTTTTTGCTAAAAAAAAAAAACAGTAACGTGTTTGGAGAGTGTTTTTAATTTTTTTTTTTGTTGGTCTGTTTTGTAAACAACCCCAAATTTTAAAAACATCAAAAGATGTGTTTTTGAAAACACGGAAAAAGGAAAACACACTCGTCCATTTAACCCATTTAATGAGGTCTAGCCTTCGAACTCCATTAGCAACAAAAAAAAAGGTTTGTTTCATTCCCACTATAAAAGCATTTTTTACCCCTTTTTCCTCTTCCCTCGTTCATCTCTCTGACGCTCTCGTTCATCTCTCTCACGAGGCAGCGACAAAGAGCTACGAAGGATCGACAAAAGAGCCAGCACACACACACACACACTCTCTCTCTCTCCCTTCTCTAATGGGTTCTACTGGGGAGTTACATGGTTGGGTTTTGTGGGTGGATTGGGGGTGGGTTTCGGTTGGTTTCACTGGTGGATTAGGGGTGGGTTTCGGTAGGTTTCACTGGTGGGGGTTGGGTTATGGGTTTGGGTGGTGGTGAGGGTGGGTTTCGGTGGATTTCAGACTTTCAGTGGTGGGAGTGGTCAGTGGGGTTGGGTGGTGGGTTTCCATGGTGGGGTTAGGTGGTGGTTTCCCATGGTGGGGTTAGATGGTGGTTTTGGGTGGTTAATGTTGTTGGTTGGTGGGATTTGGGTGATGAATCTTTGGTATAATATCAAACAAGTTTTTTATTTTTGATTTCATAATTTTTAAAATATAAATGACCAAACATGTTTTATATTTTTAATTTTTATCACAAAAAAAAAAAACAAAAACAAAACAAAACGTAGTTCTGTTTTTTTTATAAAAAAAAAACATAAAAACAAAAATGTTACCAAACGTACCCTTAATATAATGAAACTCCTAGTTCAATGTCTAAAATTTTAACAAACAATAAACTACAAAAAATATTGATAATTTGAATTGAGAAATATTTATCAAAAAAATAGCAAACTCAAAAATATTGAATAAACATAAATAGTGAACTCCAAAACCAATGAATTTTAATAGAATAAAACATCAGAAAATTAATTGGTAAAAAAGTCCATCATGCCGTTTTTATAAGAAAACATAAAATAATGCACCCTCATCTACCTTGGAATCGTAGGAATCAAATTTCATGTCTGCAACCAAAGGATCACAATCACAAAATAATTCTGCACTAGAACACAAATATTCCAAAACGAAAATAGGAAATCTTAACTCATACAATGCCTAAGCAAAGACAGCACAAGAACAAAAAAGCAATTTCATGTAAAAAAGAGTAATCAAAAAAAGAAATACAGGACAAATTCTTACTGCACTTGAATCATTGTGGACATTATCAACCGCTTGCCGATTACTCTAGTATTCCCATAAACTATCGGAAGCATATATAAGGAAAGAATCATTTCGTTGGAGAGTATGAGAAGTAATAGATGGAGTGGCACTCAAGACAGGCATGTTCATTGGTTCAGCAAGTTTGAATTTCGCATTGATGGGTTCCCGGTTATACGGCTTATGTTTCATATAAACAACGCCTATAGATCTAGAAACCTGCATCAAATACAATCATGATGTTGACGAAAAAAGTCAAAAGAAATATGGACAAACTACACTAACACCACCGTGCCCCTCTCTCTCTCTCTCTCTCCCCCCCCCCCCCCCCCACTCCCCCTCCCTCCCTCCTCAATACCCAAAAAATCAAATCTTCAATCCCCATCACCACCATAAAACCCTAGATATACATATACAAAATTTATATTCATGTCTTAAATGTTGTTCTATTATAATCAAATTCAATATGGGGCATCTGAATCTTAGTTGAGACGAAATGCGTGACAGTGGTGCCTTATGCATTTAGTATCAGATTCTCATTCAATTGCCCGAGAGCTTACGCAAGGTAATTGTTACTGAATTCATTCATTAAGAGACGGGTTTTACTTGAGTATTTGGATGGTTGTGGTGGGAGAGAAGAAGAATCAGCAGCTGTTATGTTTCTAGAACAGGAAATAATTTCATTCAAAATCAACGTGAGTGAGTAAAAGGGTATGTTGGCCATTAAAAAAAAGATTAAGGATGCGTTCGATAACATTTTTGTTTTTGTATTTTTAAAAAAATAAAAAATTGAAACAGTTTTTGTTTTTTGTGTTGTAAAAATTGAAAATATAAAATTAATTTAGTAGTCACTTATATTTAACAAATTATGAAAACAAAAATAAAAATATGTTTGATAACCATTTTCATGTTTGATCTAACTAGTTGATATACACGTGCATTGTATGTGAGCCATTCTGAGCATGAAATAACATATATCAAAATTGTAGACCATTTTCTCCAATTTTTAAAATTAGTAAAAATTTGATGTTTCTTCCATGATTGAAGTTCGACATGTGCCAAATAGGAAATCTTATAGAAAATATTTGTTGTCAATTTTGGAATATAGTATGCCTCCTATAAATTATATGTAGTACAAAGATATTTAGAACCAAGTTACATATTTTTTTGAGAGAGAATAATAAAAAAGTCTTGAGAGTTGTAAAACTTGAAATTAGAAAGATAACATTAATTTTTTTTGGGAGTACGATCTATCTTCAACACCAAGACAAATTAATGGCATAATGCAAACCATGTATAAGTCCTATCATTTTTCACTCAGCTTTGAAACAACATGCAAAAAAAATTCATAAACCTCCCTTTTGTTGAATTTTCCAAATCGGAAAGATTTGACATTTAGCGAGAAATTTTGACTCAATATATC